GAGTGCAGATAAAGCTTTCCAAAAAGCATCCAAGACTGTGAGGCTGGGGCAAGATACAACCCACTAAAGGTTTTGAAGCAGTGGAGTAACAAGATCAAATTTGTCTTTTTGGGAGACAAATGTCTGTAGCACTGAAATACTTCAGGAATGAACAAAACCTCGGCTTCCAGATGTCACATGAAATTCTGATATGTTGTCTTACAAATATAAGAATGTCCACCAAAATATTCTGTTTCTTCCACCTCCTTTCTATATACAAGCTTATGCTCTTTAGAGCAGGAAACTCCCCTTTCACAGAGCAGTGAGTAGTGCTTCATACACAGCAAACACATTTCAAATAAGCTTCTAATAGCTAATCCACAACCAGAAAACATAACAAACTGAAGCTGGAATTGTCTATCTTATTTAAAGTATACATAAGTGGCTCACAAACCTAAAGGTAGCTGCAAACATGCTTGGTTTTGTAAGGTTTTCATACCCCATATGACATTGATTTTTAAAATGTATGTTGGGTCCTATGCTGTGGCGTAGCGGGTAAAGCCACTGGCTGCAGTGCCAGCATCCCACATGGGCACTGGTTTGAGTTCCAGCTGCTCCACTTCCAATCCAGCTCTCTGATATGGCCTGGGAAAGCTATAGGAGATGGTCCAAGTCCTTGGTCCCATGCACACACGTGGGAGACCCCGAAGAACTCCTGTCTCCTGGCTTCAGATCGGCACAGCTCCGGTCATTGCAGCCAATTGGGGAGTGAACCAGCAGATAGAGGACCTCTCTCTCTCTCTCTCCCTCTCTCTCTATGCCTCTTCTCTCTCTGTATAACTCTGACTTTCAAATAAATAAATAAATCTTTAAAAAAAAAGTATGCCAAAGTTTGAGTAATGTTCTGTAACCAACTGCTTACAACTATTAACTATCCTGTCACCTATTTCTTTGGTCCAATATACAATAAGAGAATGGAATCATGGGTGGAGAAATAACTAGCAAAAAAAATCCTTTCACAGACTAAACTTACATGAATCTCTCCAGCTAAGCTCCAGAGGAGATTCCCAGGGGGATCCACGTATGTATTTTAGAAGGTTAGAAAACGCTTCCATGGTGGAATGAGTAGCCTTCCACCTGACCCTTCCATTTCAAAACTTGAACCATTTTGGAGGGCGGGGTAATTCACCTATAAACTTTCATCCAGTTCAAAGTAAAATTATGGGTGAACCTGGAAGAACGCCCTGGTGGAAAATTAATTGCTTGCTAGTTAGGCGCCTCCACAATCCCCAAGGCGGTCTGGCTGGCCAGTTAAGCCTCATTGCTGTGCTGAAGGCCTTGGGATCCGGCCCCAACAGAACTCACAGCAGTAGCTTCAGGGACTTCTTCCCCTAGAGCAGGGTTTCAACCTCTTGCTTCTCAAACTAATTTCAGTGATACTTTAATACACGCAAGCTGAGAGAAGGCATGTTCTCTCTTTAGAATGATGCCATATTCTTTAGGACTGATTTCCAAATTATGTTCTTCTCTGAATTTCAGCATTTTACCTCAACCTTGCCACTTAAATTTAAGTTTCTGATAATCACAAAAAGTGGTGGAGAAAAATACATCTGTAGGAGAAAGATGAGCGTGCAGTTATGATAAAACCAAAGATGCACACTTTAATGAAAATCAGAACACACCACCAATATTTTATTTAATTTCACACCTAAAAAATACTCCTTGCCTCTCATTTAGAAAAATTCAAGAAATCTTCAAATACAGAAATATCAAGTAATCTGCAGATGCATCTATTTATGCCTCTACCTTTGTAAAGATTAGTTTTTCTCTTTCCCTATTCTTCTCATGTTTTTTTTTTTTAACATTCAGGATTTCAGGTTGTATTATCCATCAAAATGGACAGGAGTTAAAAACCCAAACCTGCACCAGACTCACTCGCAGATTTATTTTCATGAGTAAGTAAGTTGCTACGCCTCCTAGACACAAGAGCTTCCTGGAACACCTGAAAACACGTCCTTCCACTCTGGATGCTCTTGTCCTACTCAGATTCCACTATTTGCATTTAAGATGAACTAATACTGAATTTTATTCCCATTCAAGGGCTTCTGATTATGGGTTTGTATCCAGGTTGCTGCTGGAGTGTGAATAATTTTCATACTATACTTACTAATCATAGAAACAAGCAAGTAAGATTTATAGAAAATGACTGAATCCAGAGGCTATTTTTTTCCTTTGGTATCATTGGTTTCTTCATTTCCTTCTTTTTTCCTTTAGTACTAAGTCACAAATGAAGAGATTTGCTAACATGTAATTTAATAATTATCATCTTTCAAGAAAGAGTTTTTTGTAAATTGCAACAGGGAGAATATATGTATATGAGAAAAATACAGAAAAAAAAACAAAAAAGCATCATCAATTTCTAGACAGGAAGATGAAAAAAGCAAGATCACAAGAAAGAGAAAGGCATATTATCTAAATACTATACCAATTATGATTTTAAAGAATGCAATGTATATTTGCAGTTTTTGATAGTGTCATTACAAGCTTGTTAATATCATTTTCTTACATACTATATCCTGACAAGTTTCTCCACGATAGTCTGTGTAGTTATAAGATTTTCGATTTTCTAAAATTACACAAATATTCTAAAAGAACTGTGAGCAGAAAAAGAAGTCACATCATAGACTGTTTTAAAGTAGATCTTTCCAAGCTCTAGTTGATAGATATTCATATTCTGAGTAAACTAATGGAACAATTTGGATAGGAAATAAAAGTTGAAAAACAGATGCATTATAAAGTATTCTACTCAGCGTTAACTCTGTTAGAAAACTTCAAGAATATTGAGCAAATTTACAAAGAATAAAGCTAAATATCTTTCATAACTCGTCAGATCCTGTGCTAGTTCTCGAGGGCTGCTCGAACGACATAGCACAAACTGAGTAACTTCCACAGCAGAAATGTGTTGTCTCACTGTTCTCGAGGCCAGAAGTCCGAATTCAGTTGCTGGGGTTGGTTTCTTCTTGTGGAGGGTTACCCCAGGGCACTTGGCCAACTTGGGAAGTTCCTGAGTTAAGGGCAGTGCAAACTCCATGGCTCCACACAAAAATGCAAATCACCTACCAAGGAAAAGCTGTTGGACTGTCAGAAAACCCATTCTAAGAAGAAACTGCCACTACAAGTATACGCTTCGGATTATACTCAGTGTGGCAGCAGTAAGCAGTTTCTACTGTCCTGTCTGCCCACTGTTCTTTCACAGCACGTTCAATGAATCTAACTCTCTCCCTGTGACTGCTTTGGCAAATGTTTTTTACCATCTGCAATGCTGGCCTCAGTCCCTTCTAATAACACTCCTGGGGACCTAGAAAAGATCTGTTCTGGGCCACTCTCTACTAGATGGTCATCCTTACATGCATATAATATTCTCCTGATACGCATGCCCATGTCCAAATTTCCCTCTTCTAAAAGGGCATAGCCATACAGGATTAGCACCTCACTCCCCCTACCCTTTCTCCAATCTCACCTTATCTCAACTGATTACATCTGCAACAATTCTGTGTCAAAATAAGGTCAAGTACAAGATACTGGGCTCTGACTTCAACCTGTGAATTTTGGGTGGGATAAAATTCACCCCATGACAGAAATGTATCTCTATTAAAGAGAAAAATATTTAATAATTAATTAATGATTAAATTAATTCTATATTAAAATATTTAATAAAAATATTAAAGAGAAAGCAGCACTGAGGGGTAGTTTTTATTTTGGTGCTACATAATTCACATCATACTAACACAAAATTCCAAATCACATACAAGCAAGATACATTTCCATTAATACCACTAATTTATCGTAATAGAAAAATGTCATTTTACTGCAGCCAAATCACAGTTCAGAACGTGAAGTGCTTTGGATAGGTACCTTGGACAGCCTCAAGGTTATTTTTTTTTAATGTCAGTGTGTGTCACAGATGTATCTGTCTTTCCACTAGCTTTCTCTAGTTGAAGTACGGCTAAACCTTTGTATGGAGAGCATCCACTATCAGTCTGAGTCCAATCAGGAGACAGAAAGCAGTTTGTACAGAAAGTATTTCACACTGAGAATTATTAGCTACTGCAAGGGACTGGAATAATGAAATATTGGCTAGGGATCATAAGAACTTAAAAATCCCCAAATTAGCAGATGTGAAGAGCAGCCATGACTTCTAGGTTGAAATAGCACGCAGGGAAAAGATCCCATGGGGCTGACCTACAGAGCCCACAGTTGTGGCTCGTTTTGTGCTAAAGGCATTACTAGACTGCTGCAACCATAGAACTTGCTAGAAAAGTGTTTTTTGGAGTGCAAGGTAAAGCAATTCATGGGGAATGTCTCACCAGAAACAATGCTGTGAAGTTGCCCAACATTGTACCAAGGGGAATCTGCTTGTTACCACTGAATGAGCTGGTACCAGGGAAGCTGTGGACCTCCCTACCGGCAAATCTTTAGAGAGCAGTAGCCACACAAAAATATGTAAACGGCTCAAGTCCATTTTCACAAGTCAAACAGTGTGAGTTTTAAGTGTAGAAGAATAAATAATGCACATTATTTTCTTAAAAAAAATTACTATTTATTTGAAAGTCAAATAGAGAGAGAAGGAGAGGCATAGAGTGAGAGGTCTTCAATCTGTTGGTTCACTCCCCAGTTGGCTGCAACGCCTGTAGCTGTGCCGATCGGAAGCCAGGAGCCAGGAGCCAGGAGCCAGGAGCCAGGAGCCAGGAGCTTCTCCCAGATCTCCCACGTGGGTGCAGGGGCCTAAGCACTTGGGCCATCTTCTACTGCTTTCCCAGGCCATAGAAGAGAGCTGAACTGGAAGTGGAGCAGCCGGGCCTCGAATCAATGCCCATATGGGATGCTGGCACTGCAGGTGGCAGCTTTACCTGCTACGCCAAAGCACCAGCCCCACATCATTTTCATCACTTTGGTGTACACATCATTCATATATTAAAGACACTCTATTGTGTCATTTGCCAACAAAAATAAAGTACAACTTGCTCACAACTCTTTATACTCAGTTTTCCACAAACTGACAGATTGTCACTAAGAAAAATATATAATACAAAAGTCTGACATGAGGAGGACATTTATAGTTGATACCTTCCATTTACTTGAATATGCATATGTATCCCTGTAGAAATTTGATTTGATTTCAGTTGATTTGAGTTGATTTCAGGGTTCTGCCTCACCCTCCTGAGGGAAATCATATAATGTTGCGCATATTCCCTATATTACCTTTCTCAAATCTAACATCATGAAAAACATCTGGCCTCAAGGATTTCAGAGACGTGATTATAGACCCTATTAACTGGAACCAATTTGATCTTAAACACAAAAAACATGTATGAGGAGGCAACCTCAGAAACATGGTAGAATGGGAATCCTCAGACCTTGCTGTCCTAAAGAAACACCCGCTTAACAAGTCACAATACCCAGGCAATAGCAAACCCAGCGCCAATCACATGGAGATGGGTGCGAAAGGCTACGCTCCTGACAATATCAGCCTAGCCCCTAGCACAGTTTGTGACAGGCGCGGACAGCCCAACCTGCACCTTCTCTCCAGGAAGGGATAGAAAACAAGGCAATGCCTATGTAACATTCTGCCTTGGGAGGCGATTGCTGTGTCATCTCACTCTCTAAATTTCAAGAAACTATAACATCCAGTGTAACCTCTTGTTCTAGGTGTCCCCCTGGCTTCCCCTGTAAAACTATCTCCCTTCAGGATAAAGGGTAACTTTCCTGGGGTGAGGTCAATTAGCAAACACAAATTAGTTACAAATTAGCCTGTGTGCCTCCTAGCCCTGGCTTCCCCAGAGGCTGCCCACCCACAACCCAGGTACCCTGACTAGTCCATGATCTCTCCCCTGTTGCTGGCAAGGGTATTCAAATAAAATCAGCTTTCACCTGCTCCTCTAGTTGGTGAGAATTTTTTCCTTCAGCAGGTGAAGTTTGAGGAATGCAAAGCGGCATCTCTGCCCTGTATTGATGGGGCTGGAGAATTAGGGGCCCCAAAACAGCGCTTCTGGGAAAGAGTGGAACTTCTCTGCTCTTGGATTTCAGCAGTTTCACATCAGAACAAAAAAAAGGGGGGGGGCGGGGGGCATCAGGGAAGACGTCACTGAAACGTTCCAGCTCCATAAAAGTTCTGAAAGTTACCGTGTCTCCACACTGCACAGTAGAAGCGCAATCAAAGGCAGAAGGATTTAAATGTCAAGAGCGATGAAAGAGGATAGAAGAGGAAAGGAACAGTCTTTGACCCTGAAGGTCAACCCTGAAGGTCAACTCCTCAGGGATTATAGAGAGGCTGAAAACAGAGGGCATGTCAGGGCAGACGACCCAACTTTACTCAAGGGTAAGAGTAGGAAAGAAATTGCTTTTCCTCACTGACAAACATGGGATATTTCTTAATTTATATTCAATGTGACTTTATCTAAATTGGAAGTTCTCAGAAGCCGAGAGTTGACATGTAGAAAATAAAACACTAGGCAAGTAAATCCTTATTTGGTTTTGGAATTTCACCAGATTCCTACTACCACGGTCAGAGATTGTAGTCAGTGAGTTGGTAAGGAGCCTAGTTTCTCTGAGTAGTCGTCATCAGAGGTCTGCTGAAATGGTTTTTCTCTGTATATTAAATGGTGCTGCCTGTTTCAGTGGACTTGAAGCAATTTATAGTTGAACACTTTTGTTAAGATCCTTGCACAGAAACCTGAAGTCACAAATGTCGTATTTTAAATTTATTCCTTGTTGACTAGAATCCCAAGCTGCCTATATTCTATAGTAACACTAAGTGGGAAAACTTAAATTGGGTCTCTTGACATTCTAAAGTCAATCTGGTCATAGTCACTAAGCAAAAAGAAGAAAAAGAAGGAAGAGGAGGAGGAAAAGAGAATTTTGGAAGTAAACTTTCAACTGTGAGAATAAGATCCGCATAAAATCCTGGAAATCTGAAATCCACAATATAAATGGGTAAGGGATTGATGCCTGCACAGAGGGGACTTTCTCACAATTAGACAATGTACATGTAACCCACGGCCAGCTTACATCACAAATCTATTCATCCAATAAATATTTACTGCACATCTAGCATGTCCAGTCACCAGAGCAGGCAGAAAAAACACAGAAGTGAAAAAGACTGACCAAGGCCTGCTGTCATGGAGTTTACACTCTAGTGGTGAAGAAAATCAATCAATACAACAAATAAGAAAATATGAGATATGATAGCAGTTAAAAGACAATTAAAATAGGGAGATTTGATAGAAAATGTTCATGTAATTTCATAATCAGTTAGGAAAGGCGTAAAAGGAGGAGGTATTTAAGAGCAAAGTGTATAAATGGTCACCCACTTGAAGATCAAGAACAAGTGAGGCTCAGGTGTTTGTCATGCAGTTAAGATGCCTGTATCCCATACTGGAGTAGCCAGGTCTCACTCCTGGCTCCACTCCCAACCCTAGCTTCCGACTAAGGAAGACTTTGGGAGGCAGAAATGGTCAAGGCTCAAGTGGACTGGGTCTCTACCACCCACATGGTAGGTAGATTAGATTTAGAGTTCCTGGCGCCAGGTTTTCACCTGGCTCAGCCCTGGCCCTTGCAAGCATTTGCAGAGTTATGGGAGCTCTGTTCATTTCTCTCTCTCCCTCTCTATGTCTCTCAAATAACAGAGAAAAAGAGAGCAGTGAGCAGAGAGATCCTGGGGCAGAGGATTTGATCATGGAAGGAAGGGGGACAGCAGCAGGCTGATGTGTTGAGGATATAGGATAAGCGAGTGGTAGGGAAGCATGGAGGAGCCACAATTTAAGGCATCTGATGTGGAGTAAGTCTAGAGAGCTGGGTCTGGGAGCGCTGGGCCCTCGGGAATCCCAGGTGACGAATAACAACAACCATTAACTGGCGAAGTAACTTTTGTACCACCTACTTTGTTAAGTGTTTTACTAAATCTTCAATTGCCCTAAACCCATCTTAGAGCTCAACAACTGAGGTTTAGAGAGGTTGTGACTTCATCAAAGCTTCGTAGCAAATGATTTCCACAATCGTAATTAGTGTTTTATGAATGTATTGGATTTGATTCCTTAATGAAAATACAGACATGAACGTGCCTCGAGAGCCCATTACCCGACCTCAGGAATCAGCTCCCTTTCCAGGCCTCTCTGCTCTATCACATCTTTTATAGCTGCAGAGGTCGGGTTGTGACTCACCAGGAGCCCTTGGCTCAGGCGTCTGCTCTTTCAAGCTACAGTGAGAAGACAGTAACTTCTACCCTAGGGAAATTATCCTCAGAGGGCCTATTTTTTCAGTTTATTCTTTAATTTGCTCATAATTTGAACTCAGACTTGTCCAAAAGGAGTGGGATCTTTGAACATGAGTGTATTTTATTGTAGTATAACTATATAACATTCAATATTTCTTATATAAATACGGAGAGGAAAATATCAGCCAGAATATCTGATTAGATGTTAGGAATAAATTAGATGCTAATCAGAACACACCAAATCTCCAGTTTCCTGGAAAGCCCATTGCTAGCCCAGAGTATGGCACCCTGAGTTCCTCGTATAGGTCACTACTGCTTCTCATAGTAAACAGAGAAATGCTCTAGGGCTCACCAAGATGGCAAGCTTGGCGAAGTAGAGTCCAAAAGCATTACAAGGTAACTTTCAAATTGCAAGAGTTTCTCTAAAAACCAAAGCAAGTTTAATAAACTCTTATTTTGCAATGAGACTATATAAGGACAAAACACATTGCTCTACTTTCCTACTGAATAGGAAAAACCCACTTTATGTGCAGAAGATTGCAGGGAGTTTTATTTAAGCACACGCCTCTGACTGCGTGTCTCTGAGGCACTTCAGCATCTCTCGGTGTGTCATCCTGCTGAACTCATTTAGAGTGCAGTGAAGCATCACGGAGCGTAATCTATCCATTTGTACCCATTTGGATGTCACACTTCTTTCTATAGGTACTCAATTGTAATTCAGAATTACTGGGCACTCAGGAAAAGCATAAGCCTTAATTTCTTTAGTTGTCCCACTGTTAGAATTCATCCTCTGCATCTAAATCAGCTTATTTGCATATACAATGTATTCCTGATCTGAGCTTTATATTTTAAAGAATCTCTTTTTCCTGATGATCACGTTTCAATGCAAACCGTACAATGCACTGCTTGTCTTTTACATGTAAGAGGATCTTATAAAGCAAGAGATTCCGCAGGTCAGGTACAGCTGCAGATCAGCTGAGCTGGTTATATTTTCCTACTAAAGAAAAAAAAAGTCCATATACTCAAATATTTTTTTGCAACTCTTTCCCCCAGCTAAGCTCAACCAGGTCATGTCAAGACGTAGGTATCTATGGGAAATTAGTTTGAAGGTTTGTGAGTTTTCGAGGCATGCAATCTCTATTCTAGAATGTACCCACCCTCTATTTTAGTGACAGGAGCTGAGCAATAATACAAAGAACTGCAAAATGGTTCTGGAAGTGGGGAACACCTCCACTCTCTGATTCTTGGAGACTGATTTTCAGGGGTTTTACTGGCTGTGTGAGAGCTGAAAAGTAGAAATGAGAATGATGGAAGTGAAAATGTTCCCGTTGTGGGGCCGGCGCCATAGCTCACTTGGTTAATCCTCCGCCTGTGGCGCCGGCATCCCATATGGGTGCTGGGTTCTAGTCCCGGTCGCTCCTCTTCCAGTCCAGCTCTCTGCTGTGGCCCGGGAGTACAGTGGAGGATGGCCCAAGTGCTTGGGCACCTGCACCCACGCGGGAGACCAGGAAGAAGCACCTGGCTCCTGGCTTCGGATTGGCGCAGTGCACCGGCTGCAGCGGTCATTGGGGGATGCACCAATGGACAAGGAAGACTTTTCTCTCTGTCTCTCTCTCTCTCACACTAACTCTGTCAAATAAATTAAAAAAAAGAAAAGAAAATGTTCCAGTTGTAAAAGTAGATCCAGAGATTGAGATATTAACCCAAGTTAAAAATGGTTGAGCTAGATCTACAGGCCTATGGTGATATAGACATATGTAAGTGTGTTTTCATAAAAAAATTTCCATTATGTAAAATCAAAAATCACAACTAGTTGAACCAAATTCAAAACTATGTAAAGATAAGAAAAATATAAATTAAAATACGAGTATATCATATCTGGATAGATATTAAAATATTTATTACAGGTTTTACTACAGTAATAGTCATAATTTAACATAATTAGCTATCACTATGATTTAAAATACTTTAAGGGGCCAGCACTGTGATGTAGCAGGTAAAGCCACCACCTGCAGTGCCAGCATCCCATATGGGAGCCAGTTCTAGTTCTGGCTGCTCCACTTCTGATCCAGCTCTCTGCTATGGACTGGAAAAGCAGTGTAAGATGACCCAAGTCCTTGGGCCCCTGCACCCACATGGGAGACCCAGAAGAAGCTGCTGGTTCCTGGCTTCAGATCGGCACAACCTCTGGCCATTGCAGCCATCTGGGGAGTGAACCAGTGGATGGAAGACCTCTCTCTCTCTCTCTCTCTCTCTCTCTCTGCCTCTGCCTCTCTGTAAATCTGAACTTCAAGAAACAAATAAAAAAACTTTTAAAAAATACTTTAAAACATAAAATCTCATACAGTATTCCAGCCTTAATACAGATGTAACCACATTTTATAGATGACAAAGTAGACACCGACTTTGGGATCTGTAATACAATTAATTCATAAAATGACTGACTCTCTCCAACTTTTCCTATGGGTATGAAAAAGTTCAGTTGTCTTCAAATCTCAAAGCCAATAGACCGTCTACCGAGAAAGCAAACATAAAGTCAGAGAATCGCTGTCAAGTTACTTTACTTGTATTTCCCATAGCCTTGTAAAGCTGAACAGTAAATAAGTGAATGCCTGAACTGTGAGCAGGCACACGCAGAGGTGTTCACACGGATCTGGTCTCGGGCAGAGGGCCCAACTCATATCCATAAGGGCCCAACTCATATCCATAAGCATACACAATGTCCCAGGTAGACACTTGGCTGTCTCCCCCTCAGGTAACTCTGCCTTTTCTTAATTCATTCGCACTTAACATAAGATCTACCCTCCTGTATGTTTAAGTGTATACACATTATTGTTGACAATAGGTAGAATATTAAACATCAGCTCTCTAGAGCTTAAGCGAAACTTCATGTTCATTTTAAAATTGAAAAGCTCTACTTTTCTAATACAGAAAAGATCTTGACTGAAAGACAATCAATGCAGCATTTTGTCCCTTTTAAATAGAACACCAAGTAAAATGAGTCAAATGTTGACTTTTTGTGCTAATTATACTAACAGATAAGATGTGTGTGTATATATATATATATGAAGAAAATCTGAATTGAGAGGAATGTAGGAGCAGATTTTTAAAGGATTATGGCTTCTTATTTCTAAATAGATTCTATTTCCCCATGTGCTTGTTGTCCTAAGTTTTAAATTTTTAAATCATCAATCCATAAAATGATATATAGTTATCACAAGTTCACATCATTTAATACATGAAAGGAAATTTTGTTCAAAAATCATTTTTCTATTTCAAACTTTTTCAGTTAGAAATAGATACTGCAATGCAGTTTTAATTGAGAATATTTCTTGACAAACAATATTAATCAGCATTCCCAAGTAACACTATAAAAAGACAGTTCAGTGAATTTTTATGCCATTTTTAAAAACTAGATTTTGGCCCGGCGCCGTGGCTCATTAGGCTAATCCTCCGCCTGCAGCGCCGGTCCCGATTGTTCCTCTTCCAGTCCAGCTCTCTGCTGTGGCCCGGAAGTGCGGTGGAGGATGGCCCAGGTCCTTGGGCCCTGCGCCCACATGGGAGACCAGGAGAAGCACCTGGCTCCTGGCTTCGGATCAGCATGGTGCGCTGGCCATGGCATGCCAGCGGCAGTGGCCATTGGAGGATGAACTAACGATAAAAGAAGACCTTTCTCTCTCTCTCTGTCCACTCTGCCTGTTTTCTCATTTTACTTATTTATCATGGTTTGTAACAAAAGAAACCTAGGATTTTTGTTATAACATTTAAAGTGTCTCCGAATACCTCAACAGTAGGTGTACAACATAAAATAAAACAGATAACAGATCTGCTTGCCATTCAAGAATGGGTCCTTGTCCTTGAGATGATGGCCAATCCATATGAAAACATCTAACCTTACCAAACATAATGCTCTGGCCTTAGATGCTGCTGAAAACCACCAAAACTTTGCCCCAGGTGATGGGCAAACAGTATTTCCAGCCAACACACACTAACCCCTCGCCTAATGAGATTAATTTGCTTCCTTGTGGGTTGGAGATATCTGTCCAGAACGATTCCCATTCCGAGGGTTTCTGCTTTATCAGAGATGGCAAACATTTAACTGCCCCTCATCTCGTCTTTCTCCCTGACCTGTTTCTGAAGAGGGAAGGCCTGGTTGCCTCGCAACAGATTGCTCTGAAAAGCCTTCAGCTCTCTACCTTCCTCAGTTAGTAAAAGCAGGAGGCTCAATGCTAAGAAGGCTTGGATGGCAGTGAGACCTGGCTGAGCCACCTTCTCTGGCTGTGACAGTGTTGCCATCAACCAGGAGGTTGGCAACCATACAACTGCACAGCTGCCAATATTAAATGCCTTTGTAATAACAGCTACTAAATCAGAATGAATTAAATGTTTAAGAACTAAAAATAACCAGCCTTAATATCACAATATTTAATAAATCAAAAAACTATTGTTTAGTTTCAGTTCAGTTACATTTGTAACCTCCTGAGGGTTAGACTGGAAAGCAAAGGAAATTCTGAATTCAGTTTTACAAAGACTTATTATTTATTTGAAAGGCAGGGTTACAGAGAGAGAGGGAGAGAGAGAGAAAGAGATATCTTTCATCCAATTGATTCACTTCCCAAATGGCCACAATGGCCAGGGCTGGCCAGGCCAAACCCAGGAGTCAGGAGCTTCCTTCAGGTCTCCCACATGGGTGGCCCAAGCACTGGGACCATGTTCTGCTGCTTTCCCAGGTGCATTATCAGGGAGCCGGACTGGAAGTGGAACAGCCAGGACTCAAAATGGAGCCCATTTGGGATGCAGAGTTGCGGATAGTGGCTTAACCCACTGGGACACACCCTGGCCCTTCATTTATCCATTTTAAAAAGTGTTTATTTATATATTTAGCTATCTATCAGTGTGCCTATTTTCCTATTACTTTTTTCATTTATGTTGAGGATGTTTTGGCTTATTAACAAACATATAGTAGATTTTATCTGAAGGTAATTCACCAGGTTTTCCCTGATTTTAATTGTGCTGTCCTACAGTTTAATTGATTTTAAATTGAAAATTCACTTAGTTTTCCAGGAATTAAGTCATTTTTTCTTGCTTTCTTTGATCAAAAGATTAATCTGCCTATATAACCCCTAAATTATTTGAAATTTCAGCAATGCTTTGTCATCAAACAGAAGTTTCCAACTCTTCTTTGGAAAAATTACTGCCCTGCCAAACTTATAAATCAATCAACAGAATACAGTTAATATGTTCCTGACCTATTCAGAATTTAAATGGCCAAGATTTCACAAAAGATAGATTCAGTCTCTTTACTGAAAGTAAAAGCTATAAAAGAACTTTGCAAAAGTGCTGTGTCAGAGAAACTGAAAGGATCTTTCCATTAGTGATGACTGAGGTTTCTCTGGGTTTCGCTGAGTCACAGGAATCAGCACTGACGGAAACAGGCACTGACTGCTGCCTTCACGGAGCGTACAGTCTAGGAGAGCCGATACACATGTATTTGTGTGTCTGTGTTTCCGACACTGTCTAGGTGCTGAGGATATAGCAGCACACAAGACAGACTTTCGCTCTGGGGAGGTTACAGTTCTAGCCAGAAAAGACAAGCAATAAAGACACAACTCATGTCAGTTGGTTGTGACAAGTTCCATGAAAATCAAGGAAGTAGGTAAGATGAGAGAGAATGCAAGGTGACAGATGACGAACAAAATCAAGGCACTGTTATGAAAAGGTAGTTCTAACTGTTGTTGCAACGAACAGACTTACTCCATTTTTGACATGGACTGCTCTCGGGCTCCATCTCCCACTTCCCCTCGGGTTCACCTCTGTGCAGATAAGAAAGGCCATGGCCTCTAGAGAATTTTGTTTTGAACTCTGGACACTGAAGTGAAGAAATTCAGTTACTCATAGACCAAGACCCTTTTCTGTGTTCTACTCTCTTCATCGTCACTCTTGTTTCTGGTTCATGTTCGTGCTTTACAATGCCTTGCAATAATCAATGGTGGTAAGTTGTTGCATGTATCAAATCATGTATCAAATGCATCTGAATCAAAGATATTTATTACAGATATTGTAGTCAGTATTGGAGAACTTCCTCTAAATTTTGAAGTAGCAAACTTGAAATTGTGCTTTTAATTTCTAAAGACATTTCTTGAATAATTACAAATAATAAAATATTTTTTAAAGATTTTTTATTTATTTATTCGAAAGAGAGTTACACAGAGAGAAGAGAGGCAGAGAGAGAGATAGGTCTTCCATTCGATGGTTCACTCCCCAGTTGGCCACAACGGCCAGAGCTGTGCCGATCCAAAGCCAGGATCCAGGAGTTTCTTCCAGGTCTCCCACATGGGTGCAGGGGCCCAAGCACTTGGGCCATCTTCTACTGCTTTCCCAGGCCACAGCAGAGAGCTGTATCAGAAGAGGAGCAGCAGGGACTAGCACCAGCACCCATATGGGATGCCGGTGCTTCAGGCCAGGGTGTTAACCCGCTGCGCCACAGCACAGGCCCCACAAATAATAAAATATTAAATACA